GTGACATTCAGGATCCGAAGCCGCTGAGGCCGGTTCGGGTGAATCTGCGGACGCAGGCATGCGGGAGATGCGAATGGCTTCCTTAAAGACAGGAACATTCTGGTGGAGCTCATCAGCATAGCAACGGCTGGCAGTTGGGCAACGCACACGCCACGAATCAACGTTCTCTACGAAGAACGGCTTCGCTTGACCTGACCCGTCGGGCAACCACAGAAATGCCTTTCCCAGAGTTGACTTGATCCCTAATGCACATTGCCCAAGGGCTCCCCTCTAACAAGTACACCTCATCATTCTTGACCAAATCACCCTGAACTTTCACTGAATCGGTTGACGGCCTGTCCCCACCACCTGTCGAAAACAGCACTGGATTTCCAGTGGCAGCGATATTATCGCTCAGACTCGGCTCATTTTGCAGATCGGTTAACGAACCAATGTACCTTCCAGCACCTGTATCCCCTAACCAGCTAACCGTGGCCGTCCCATTACCGTGGGAAACGAAGATTTCCCAAACAAAGCGGATTTGGCAACCTTCTTGCAACCACTTAACCCATTCCCAACGTTACTTGCACAACCTGGCTCCGGCGCGTAATTCGCTGCGCGGTCACCCTGGGCATTGCCAAAAGTAGACGCAAGGATTGCGCAAGCGGCTGAAGCTTTTGAAGGAATGTTGGACTTAGCTTTCGCTTTGGCACCAGTTTTGGGATTTGGGTGAGGGTTGTTGGCGTCATGGAGGTACGGGCAGTTTTTCCTAAAGCATGTGCTAGTAGGGAAAAGAGAGATGGTGATTTAGCCTTTTCTTCCTTAGACATCGGTGCTTTGGCTGCTGCTTTTGGCTCCGATGACTTGCCCTCTCCTTTACCTTTTGGATTAGCCTTGGGCGCCGGTGCAATGGGCGCTGCAGGGGTAGCCTTTGGATTCGGTTTGTCAGGCTTCTCGGGCTTCTCAGGCTTGCTCGGCTTGTTAAGCCTACCAGGCTTATCAGGCTTGTCCTCAACCTTTGCAGCGGCACCTGATGCCTTTGCGGACAAACTGGCAGTGATGGAGGCGTGATTGCTGTCATGATGAGCCTCATCAATGACTTCAATAAGCTTTCCACATAACCACTGAAAGGATCTCCGACTAGACCCCGAAAATGCTGACCGAAACTTGTCAATCTGAATGCAGCTTGGGAACGTTCTTAACTTGCTCATAGAGAAAGGAACGCAGAGCACTCTCAGAAGGCACTTCATCCTGCTCCAACGCACCTGGCACATAATCTACCCGGTTCCTGAAATCCTCTAGCTCTTTAGTCCCGTGCCCTTGCAAACGAATGTTCAAGAGGTGCTGCTGGGTCAAAATGACCCCCCTGTCCTTTTGCAGCTTGAACCGCTTATAGATGCAGTTGAGAAGCAAACGACCTTTAGGTTGATACCCTCTCTTAAGAGCCTTCTCCTGCAAAATTTGAAACTCAAGTGCAAATTGGCTGCCCTTGGCCTCTCAATCAACTTGGCGGCCAAAACGCGGTTGAGGACGCGGAATGCTTTCGATCTGCTCAACTCAGACGCTGATTTGTCCTCAGCCTCCCTGAGCCACGCATGGAGTTCTTTCTCAGAACCTTTGCAATACTGCGCAACACTAGCAAACAACTGATTCCTAAACGCGTGCAAGTCCGCGGCCGCTTTGGGGAACTGACTGATTTTGATTTTGCCATAATGTTTGTTTCGCATGGTAACCTTCTCTGCCTCATATGGGTCTTGGTCCGCATCACCCGCATCTGAGATCAGTTCTGCTGACTCCGACCGTGAATCTCCGAAACGTTGGCGTTGAGCTGAAGATGCAGAAGAAGACGATGAGCTCTCATCCCTCCTTTTATCCATCACCTTTGACTTGGCAACGGGTGACCTCACAGTGGGAGATGCTAGTGCTTCTTTGCGGCCACTAAAGGGGCATCGGTTGAACCGCAACCTCCACTAGTCGAGGTGGGCTGAGCTGCATCCTGAACGCGGGTAGTTTCGACATTTGGGCAAACTTGGCATCCGCCCGATGTTGATAGCTCTGAGCTTCTTGCTGCAAGGAGTTTACTAACCTTTCGGCAGTGGCCCTGCGCAAAGTCTCCTGCTCAAGTCGAAGACCCAATTCCCTAAGTTGGCCCTCGTATCGCAACCTTTGGTGCTCAAGTTGGGCAATGGCTTCTGAAGTTATGGAGTTTCGGTCATGCTCGTGCCTTGCCTGGACCTCCCCTAACACATTTAAGTGTCTGCGTTCGGTTTCCGATGCAACCTCATGCACAACACCCATAACCTGTTCTGGCGTGGCGCCAACATGCAAGGACCTGGCATCCACATTGGTCTGGGAGTAGTGTGATGACTGCACTTCCAAGGTTGGGCTTGCTGAGTCAAGGGAAGGACGCAAGTTTCTGGGCCTGTTTACCCTCAACAAAGGAACTCCTTCAACCGAGGATTGGATAAGGGAAGTCACTGTGTCAGTGCTAGGGCTTATGGCAGGGGCACTTCCTGTTCTAAGGCTGGGCACTACTGCCATGCCCGGTGCTTGATTCGGACTCCTACTTCTCGCCCTTCCCCTGGCGGGCTGTCCCTCGTGATATGGTAGATCCAGGGCTTGCCCTTCCGATAGCACTCGTCCTTAGCTTGATCGTTATCGTCCAGCAGTGTCGGAATGTTGAAGTGGTTGCAAATGTCAGCCTTACCGCCACGACCAGTCTTTTCAGTGCAAACGATTACGATGCTGAAAAGATTGGCCGCTCCAGATGCCAGCAACTAGCAATGAATAGCCGCCAGCGCGACAAGTATTGGCCAACCACTTCAAATTGCGAATAGGAATGACGCAACCTTCTGTGCTATCCAACGACGATCCAAGTTGCCTCCTTCGCCACTCCCGGCTGGTATGGGCAATCGTGTTACAGTAATCAATCGCGAAGGTCTTCTCTGGAAAACTAAACTCTGGATCTATATGCTGCTCGCTGCAGATTACCACGTCGCCCCCATTCGCCCTTGGGAAGATAGTCTCCAATGGGTGCACAAAGTGCTCGACTTGCGGCTACTCAACTCGGCAAAACGGATAATGCCCCTGAACTCCTCCTTGGTAGGTTCAGCTGTTACTACCAGGGGGTCGTCTGGTGTTGGAACAACTGTGCCACTCCAAATTGCATGTCCAAAGCCGCCGCGATATCCTCATCTACCTCCTCGTAAGGACTCCGCCTGGCTCCGGCTGCTCCGGTTGCTCCGGCTGCTCAGCCGGCGCGGGATCCGCTGCACGGCTTCCAACTGATCTCCCCTCCACCTCCTCTTCGCCGAGCGTGAAAAGTAGGAAAGAAGATCGCCAAGCCTTGCAATACTGCCGCGAACAGAACACGGCCTTCCCGTCTGTCTTTGCGGCGCTTTGACTTGCCAGCGCGAGGTCTGTAGGTATCAGACCTTTTCATACACCAGCGGCCAACAAACACCAATGAAGACACTAGAGCTCTGTTAAAATGTAGAGCGCCAGAATACGGCTTCACGGGCGAATGTGAAACTTCGAATGTGTAAAGCCCCCAACCAAAAGAACAGGACGCGAGAGCTATACGGCTGATAACCCAAAGATTCCGTTGGAATCTGCTTTCAAAGCCGTGCTTATAGCAAACTCAAGACACCAGCGACCCCGTAACAAAGTGGCGCTGTTTTTATCTTGAGCCAAATGTTGTAGTCGACATACAACTGTACAAGTGCATGCTATTCTACATGTGTCCCTGGTGATTTCTGCTTCTTAGCGTGCCTGCTCATCACCATTTCTTTTCACCGTCCTGTCTCCTTTGACAAATTGAGTCTCTTTCACTCATACATGCACCACGAAAACCCTGCCACATGCAGCGGGCGCGCATCTCCATTCATGTGTGATCGTGTTGCACGGTGTTCATCACCGCTTCATTTCACCGTCCTGTCTCTCTAAATTTCTCTCATTCATGCACACACCACAAAAATATACACAAATTAGACAACACAAAACCTGATACTAAATGGGAACGCGCTGGTTGCCGGAAGGTGTAGGTCGGAGTGCGCTGTGTTGCCAATGTTGGAATGTGCAGGTCGGAGTGTGCTGTGTCAGTGTCACCATGGGCAAAGGAATACAGCAGGGGCCAGCGGCCAGGCTTGCAAGATGAGTGCGTGCGCTGGCCAACGAAGACCGCGCACTCATTTACCTGTCCTCTCGTGTAAACGTACCTGCGAAATGATGCAAAGATTCAGATTATAAGAGGTGCTGAATGCAAGTCGGATAAGATCGAAAAATGAAAAGGAAGAAATGAGAAGATGACTCTAGCTTGCTAACCCTAGGTATGATGTTGTGCTGTCGTGTGGCGCACCGTGTTTTTTAAGATGTGATGTGTTATCGTGTGACATGTGGAGTATGTGAGGGGGTCCTGCCTTTGCAGCTCTGAACGCATCATTCCGCATCCAATAAACAGAAATTGAAACAAATGCAGAGGGAGGACGTGCTGCGAACGGCCATGAGCTCGGCGAGGATATCTGCATGGCGTGCCTCCCACGGCCATGGATGGCAGAGCCAAAGAAGCGGAACAATCCTCCTTCTGTATGTTGTCCCCTTTCATGCACTCGAAACTAAGAGTCACCCAATCGATGCCAGAGGCGCACCGGAGTATATCACACTATTGCAGGGGGCAGACTGGGTGAGCCTGAACTTTCTTCGACTGCAGCTAAAGAATGGCAGTAAGCCGACACACCTGTCACTCTCGAAGCTGCGAATGCCCTACAGAAAGGAAGACAATACTACTTCGAATCAAGTCACTTGTCCAGCAGCCGGGTTTCACATGTGTCGGTGCAGTCGGGACTTCACAGCTGCGGCGGCAACTGATTAAAATACCTTGCACGGAAAGGAGATGATGCTGATGCAAATGGCACAGCATCAAGCCATGCTGTGCTGGCGCAGCAGCCTACACGAGTCTTGGTGTGAAACTGTGTCTTCCTGAACGATATGAGTTCAGGATCGCCCACCCGTCACACGATGGTTCAGACGGCGGGTGTGTCGCTCTCACCTGCTCTTTCCGATCAACATCGCTGCAGGGTTCTGAAATCCACTGAATGCCCAGTATCATGCCGAAATGTAGACGGGAAGTACAATGACAGCTCGCTTGCCAGGTCTGCTCGAGATCTCGTGAAGCCCGGCGACGCTCGACACATGTCCACCGGCTGCAGTGACTATAGAGCACTAGGTCACTAGGCGACTTCACATTGCGGATGCGATGCTTAAAGCTGCCACGGTGCCGAATTCAGCGGATGACAAGTGACAATGTAGACAACAATGCAAGTTGTAACCAGGGAGCCATGCAGCGACGACGCCCTACATCGTCGTGCAACCCCCTCCACAGTACAACGTGAATCACTTCATATCACAGTTGGCCATGCTGTTAAAGAAAGTACTACTAATTTTTTGAAATTTGGAGATCCCTCAGTACTGCAGACTGTGCAGATGAGCGCGCGGAACATCCATAAATTCACATCCGGGCCTGCCATCTGGCCTAGCTGCACGTTCGCTGAACTCGCTGTGTCAGGTGCATGAGGTGCTGCATCTGATGGACAGGCGGTCAACCAGATTTCTTTGCAGTTTCTTCACTTCCTATGCGGAGGTTGTGCGAACCTTCCACCTCCACCTCACACACCGCAAATGTATGGCAAGATGAGCATGGCATGCAAGCGGCCAGCAAGGATCACAGTTTCTTGTTAGCCTGCAGGGGCGGCGGTAGCGTTCCCACTCTCTGTGGGGAGCAGTGCCTGGACCAGGTCCTGGCCAGAATCCGCTTCCATCTGCACACCGCGACTTGCCCATGGCAAACCCCACCAGGCGGCACAGCGGACAACGACGGCCACAACGCAGCCAGTGAAGGAGGCAGTCCTCTCGGTCTCCCGGCTATCAGGGCGCAATTGTGTCTTGAGATTGGGGACAATGCCGCAAACCACTGGCCATGACATGTGCGCTGTGAGAAAAATCGTGGCCCATGTCCTCGTGAAATGCATGGTGGCATGGTAGTGCCTTCCAGCTGCTGCCGTCGGCAGCATCCGTCTCGAGGCAGATAGCACATTCAGTGCCAGGCTCCACCGTCACAGCCGGGGCCTCAGGCAAAAAGCGGTGCAAATGGAAGCTGTAAACACACTCAAGGATGAGTCGAGTCTGCAACAATTTGTGTGCAGCAGGCACCTCCACGATGGAGTTAATCACTGTCTCCAATGCCGGACCCGATGAGTCCCACATCCTTGGCAGATGTGTCTTGTATGAAGCCTCATCACATCCCCGACCAGGCCAGGCAGTTGATTCAGGTTGCGGCCGACGCAGGCTGGAAACACGATACCTGCATAGAATGGCATAGAAACTGCGCCAGAAGCAGAAACGAGATGCAGGCGCTGGCCTGAGCACCATAAGCGACAGCGTCAGCAGCAGCATCGCGATCACGGTCCACAAGCTGCGTTTTTGGATATTCAGGATGAAGACACGCCTGAGCCAGTGCGTATGCATGCCCAGCCCGATAGACCCAAGGGTACTCAAGACAGAGGTCAGGTGCAATCACTGCCCTTTGCTGCTACACCAAACTACTAACTCGATATAGGCATCGCAAAGAAGAAAAAGGAGGAACCCGTTTGAATCCTCTCTGTGCCGGAGGGCAAGTCCGGAGCCTTCTTCCAGCACGCGGCAGACTCCGAAGCCTGGGTTGCCCACTTCGGTCGCAAGCCTGCACTGAGCTTTCACTCTGTTGTGGCCAGGCTCCACGAGAGGACCGCCGTAGATGGCATAATAGAGGACGACCGGAACGGCCACCACGTACATAAAAGGAGCCTTGAATAACACCCTTCCAGTGCACTCTCGATTACTCTCGCACACTGCCCGAGGATAGCGTCACTCTCGGATGGTAGGCCAGGCCAGGCAGCCATGGTCAAAGCCAAGAGATACATGAGCAACCTCGTTGCCAAAGGCGGGCATCCAACAGGTTAACTTGTCGAGGCTGGTGCAGCTACGTGAAGGCCAATGCTCCTGCTCCGGATTTCGTATTGGCAGCTGCGTGCAGGCGAGCAACCATTGCCGCACACCCTGCACAGACACACGGCCAGCTGCACATCGCAACCCGTAATCAAACGAGGATGAAAAAGAACGATGAACAACTGCTTCCGACAAAGATCTTGAGAATGGCGATAGACTGCAGTGCTGACTCTTTTTAACGGACGCCTGCACCGGCCTTGCAGACCGGGTCAGGAAGACCAATCAGCAAATGGTACCAGCCCTCAACCCAGCACCACAGCTGCAGTGCGCCTGGTGCGACTCAACTGCCCGATGCCCGAGACACAGTTAGGTGCAGTTAGAAGACAAGCGGTGTTGCTCATAGGTGCTCGTTTTCCGAAGAACTGGCCTGCAGCAAAAAAGGACACGACGGCCACCAGCAGCGGGACGCGGAGGCGGCGGGCCTTCCGGCCGTGAAGCTGCACAAGGCGATCCGAAAGCTGAGAACGGCACAAAGCACGAGAAGCCCGGAGGAACAATGATCAGAAACCCGTTCTGGGCGCATGCAGGCGCACAGCATCGAGCTCGTGAAATTGAAGCCTACGAAGTCATATCGCAAAGCTTGCACAGGAAGACTGGCCACCGGTGTGATTCGGGTGCTGGTGAACACGGACCTGCAGACCTACATGTATCCGGATGTGGATTTTGCGGTAGGCACATCCCAGATATCTCGTCTCCAACGAGCTGCCCCGAATGATCCTGAATCTGGTAGCCACCTCCGCTTCTTCAAACAGGACCACATATGAGACGAATGTTTGAGCTTCAGGAAGAGAGGCATACATGCAGCCATGAAAGGAGAGGATGTTGCTGTATGTGCATGTGTGTCCCTGGGTGTAGGGTTTAGGGTTTAGGGTTTAGGGGTTGAATGCCTGGGTCCGCGCCAGCAGCGGCAGCGGATCGGGCAGATTGAGGCCCATGGTGGGAAGCCTTCGAAGCTTCAGATGCAAACACTCGCCCTACGAGTACTGTCGGCTGACGCTTCTCCACGCAGTCGTGCAGAACAAGTCACCATCGAAGCACAAGCTCGTCACAAAGCACCTCGCACCTGGATCGTGAGTTCAATTATCGTGCTTCCTTCACATCGGTGGCAGTATGTATACAAAGAAGGCATCCATCTTCGGTTTTGCCCAGGCTGATGTAACGAGGACACTCAAGCCTCGAAGTTTGGATATACTTGTGGAACTTGACGGATGCGAACAGCTGCTGTGATCAGTTTCTTGGTGCTGTCCGCGGTGCGCACGGCATGCAGCGCAGCGACACCGGCTAATAGGCTGCTGCTGTTCCATAGCCCGCCAAAAGTGCGAATGGCTCAAAGATCTGATAAGATCTGAGGTTCTGAGCTGCACTGCACGGAAGTGACATGATGCTTGCTCGGGTGCATGTCTTTGACTGTCGCTGTTGCATGTTCTTGCCACGTGTTCTGGAAGGTCCTTTCCCGGAAAGGACGCGGAACGAAGTGGCACGTGCACCACCAAGGCCAAAGCGGAGCTTCTGGGCATCACCGGACACAGATTGCAGCATAGTAGCAATGCTATCCTGTAGATTCAGAGCATGACACGTACAGTACCAGGTCACCAGCCTCGATCCCAGATAGCCATGGGGAGTCCTGAGGGACAGAAGCCCGAGCTACGAATGCATGGAATGGCGTGGACAATGAACAGATTGTGTGTCTTTCGAGGTTTCGTTGCTATGGCTCTTCTTCACCAGCTCCGATAGCACAGACCCATCAGGCAAAGAAGTCCTCCCGTTGCCAGACGGGACTGCTGCGCAGGCCCGGAACCTGAACGAGCATGCTCACGCTTGAGTTACTGGGAAGTCATGACAGAACTCACTCCCCACGAAGGCCTAATCGATCGGCAACTTGCCCCACATTCTGCACGAGTGTGAGGGAGACTGTCGGGTATTCTCTCGGGTATTTCATAAGGTATCGTATAAGGTATTCTACAGAGGGTATATATAGGAAGGTGGTGTATATGTGACCGAAGAATCCTAGAAGGTATTTTATAGGTATTCTATATGGCACATGTTGGTATACAGGGGGTATCATACATAGGCGGTCTTCTATAAGGTATTCTACAG